ATGACGACCAGACGACAATAGTTCAGTGATCTCTCAGTGATCGCGGGGGTGAAAACCGGCAGCGATCGCCGAATGGTGAGAGGCACACTGAACCTAAACGTTAAGTTGGAGAGGTCACGTCTAATCAAGTCAACGCTCCGTCCCCCTCGTGCTCTAATCCAAAGTCCCAAAACCTTTCAGCTCGAGCTACGAAACCATTTTCAGTGCCTAGAAGATTGCAATGCAGTGGATCACATGAATGACAAGCTCGTGGAAACTCTCCATGCGGTCGAAGCTAAGTTCTGCAAGACCCGCGCAGAAGAACACAAAACTCTCCGATCACACTCTTAATCTCATAACTCTTAGACGGGATATGAAGCTGCAGTCTTCAGTAGATTTGACAGCATGCAGGCAACTGAACAGACAGATCTCCAAATGCATGCGGCGGGACTTACGCAACTTTAATACTTCTCGTATTGAAGAAGCGATCGAGCGGAACCAGGGCTCCAAAGTCTTTGCTAGAGATCTGTCTGCCAGAAAAAGCATACTGTCGAAGCTGAAGACCGAGTGTGACAGCGTCGTGTCCGGGACACCTGGGATTTTGAGTGAGATTGAGAGGTACTATGGGCAGCTGTACACATCATCGTTGGAGCCACATGTAAATGTAAGTAACGATCCAAGGGCAAGTCTTATCCGACACTATTCCGATGATATCCCGGACGTGAGTCTGCGCGAGATTAGAATGGCTCTCCAGCACCTTAAAAACGACAAGACCCCAGGCGAGGATGGAATTACAGCGTAGTTTCTGAAAGCGGATGGAAAACCGGTACTTGAAATCCTCCAGAAGCTCTTTAATTCCGTTGTCAATGGTGGCATTACATCGGATAGTGGAGCAGAAGTGCGGTGGTCTTCTTCTTCAAGAAAAGTGACAACGCTTTCTTGAAGAACTACAGACCCTTTTGCCTTCTGAGCCGCGTCTACGTGCTGTTTTCGAAAGTCATTACGAATCGTCTCGCGCGCAGACTTGACGACTTCCAGCCTACCGAACAAGCCGGTTTCCGAAAATACTTTAGCACTATAGACCACATACATACCACATAGGTGTGACATGGACATTAAACATAATCTTTGTTTTGTCCATGTTCATCTTAAGACCTATCCGTTGGGAAACACTATTGAGGTCATTGAGCATAGTGCTTAGGTCCTCCAGCGATATTGCAAAAAGGACTATATCGTCGGCAAATCGAAGGTGAGTGATGTACTCGCCATTGATGTTAATACTGTATCCTTTCCAGTTCAGAAGCTTGAAAACGTCTTCCAATGCAGCGGTGAAGAGTTTCGGGGATATGACGTCACTCTGTCTTACATCTCTCTGCAATTGGATAGGTTTCGTATTCTGGTTCTGTACTCGGATAGCCATCGTAGCTCTACTGTACAAGCACTTCAGCACTTCGATATACCGACAGTCAACTTGGCACCGCTGAAGGGACTGCAGCACCGCCCAAATTTCGACGGAATCAAAGGCTTTCTCATAGTCCACATACGCCGGGCATAGTGGCAAATTGTACTCCTCGGACTTCTGTACAACTTGCCGAAGGGTATGTATGTTGTCTATGGTGCTAAAGCCCTTTCGGAAACCGGCTTGTTCGGGAGGCTGAAAGTCGTCAAGTCTGCGTGCGAGACGATTCGTAATGACTCTCGAAAACAGCTCGTAGATGCGGCTCAGAAGGGAAATTGGTCTATAGTTCTTCAAGAGAGCATTGTCACCTTTCTTGAAGAACAAGACTACCGTACTTCTGCTCCACGCCTCCGGTGTAATGCCACCATGGAGGACGGAATTAAAGAACCTCTGAAGGACTTCCAGTACCGGTTTTCCACCCGCTTTCAGAAGCTCCGCTGTAATACCATTCTCGCCTGGGGCCTTGCGTTTTTAAGATGCTGGAGAGCCATTTTAATCTCGCTCAGACTGAGGTCCGGGATATCTTCGGAATAGTGTCGGATAAGCCTCGCTCTTGGATCGTTACTCACACTTGCGAGTGGCTCCAACGATGACGGGTACAGCTGTCCATAGAACCTCTCAATCTCACTCAAAATCTCAGGTGCCCCGAAAACGATGCTGCCACATTCGGTCTTCAGCCTTGACAGTTGGCTCTTTCTGGCAGACAGATCTCTGGCAAAGACTTTGGAGCCTTGGCTCCGCTCGATCGCTTCTTGAATACAAGCTGTATTGAAGTTGCGTAAGTCCCGCCGTATGCATTTGGAGATCTGTCTGTTCAGTTGCTTGTATGTTGTCAAATCTGTTGAAGAATGTAGCTTCAACTACCGTCTAACGGCCATGAGATTAAGAGTGTGATCGGAGAGTTTTTATGTTCTTCTGCGGCGGGTCTTACAGAACTTAGCTCCGACCGCATGGACAGTTTCCACGAGCTTGTCATTCATATCGTCCACTTCATTGCAGTTTTCTAGGCACTGAAAACGGTTTTGCAACTCGAGCTGAAAGGTTTCGGGACTTTGGAACAGAACACGAGGGGGACGGAGCGTTGACTTCATTAGAGGAGACCTCTCCAACTTAACGTTTAGGTTCAGTGTGCCTCTAACCATTCGGTGATCGCTACCAGTTTTCACCCTCGCGATCACGGAAACATCACTGAACAGTTGTCGTCTGGTCGTCATAATGAAATCAATCTCATTTTTTGTGGAACCGTCGGGGCTCGACCAGGTCCACTTCCTGTGGGGCCGCTTCTGGAAGAAAGAGTTCATCATAAAGAGTCCCTCTTTCTCCATGAAGTCGGCCAGATGCTGGCCCCTTGGGTTCCGTGTCCCTATTCCAAATTTCCCTACTTTCAGCTCACCGTTCTCTCTTGTGCCTAGTTTTGCATTGAAGTCTCCCATTAACACCGTATATTGGGTTTTGGAGGAATGCATGACTCTAGAGATATCCTCATACATTTCCTCCACCTCCTCATCGGGGTCTGCCAAGGTTGGTGCGTAGACCTGTATGACCTTCAGCGAATACCGTTTGGTGATTTTGAGTATAAGGTACGCAACCCTCGTCGACACACTCCCGATCTTTACAACGTTGTTAACGAGAGACTTGTGGACGATAAATCCGACACCTCCTTGGGACAGATGGTCGCCCTCCCGGTGATAGAGCAAGTTGCCGGATTCGAGGATTACCGTGTCCTCCCCCTCTCTTCGGACTTCGGATAATCCTATAATATGCCAGCGCAACTTGTATATCTCTTCTTCCAGCTCCACGATCTTCTCGTCAGTCCTCAGGGTGCGTGCGTTGTATAATATCCCACACGCACTGCTTGTACAGTCTCTTTTTCAAGTTTTGAGGTATACCTGACGAGAAGATGTGCCGTAATTTCTCGAACGCTGCCCAACCGAGTTGAATCCGTCGATTGACCTCTCGGTCGAAGTTGGACTTACCTAGTCGGACTATTTGTCCCAAGCAAACATACTCATCAACAACTTCGAGCTTAGTGCTCCCAACAACTACCGGCATAGGTGTGACATGGGCATTAAACATTATCTTTGTTTTGTACATGTTCATCTTAAGACCTATCTGTTGGGAGACACTGTGCTTAGGTCTTTCAGCGATTCTGCCATATGGACTATATCGTCGGCAAATCTAAGGTGAGTGATGTACTCGCCATTGATGTTAATAACGTATCCTTTCCACCCCAGTAGCTTAAAAAGTTCTTCCAATGCTGCGGTGAAAAGTTTTGGGGATATAACATCACCCTGTCTTACACCTCTCTGCAGTTGGATAGGTTTCGTACTCTGATTTTGTACTCGGATAGCCATTGTAGCCCTACTGTACAAACACTTCAGCATGTCGATGTACCGACAGTCAATTTGGCACCGCTGAAGGGACTATAGCACCGCCCAAATTTCGACGGAATCAAAGGCTTTTTCATAGTCCACGTACGCAAGGCAAAGTGGCAGATTGTACTATTCTGTCTTCTGTACAATTTGCCGAAGGGTGTGTATGTGGTACATGGTACTAAAACCTTTTCGGAAACCGGCTTTTTCGGGAGGCTGGAAGTCGTCGAGTCTGCGTGCGAGACGATTCGTAATGACTCTCGAAAACAGCACGTAAACGCGGCTTAGAAGGGAAATCGGTCTGTAGTTCTTCAAGAGAGCATTGTCGCCTTTCTTAAAGAACAAGACTACTGCACTTCTGCTCTACGCCTCCGAAGTAGTGCCACCATGGAGGACGGAATTAAAGAGCTTCTGAAGGACTTCAACTACCGGTTTTCCGCCCGCTTTCATAAGCCCCGCTGAAATTCTATCCTTACCTGTGGCCTTGCCGTTTTTAAGGTGCTGGAGAGCCATTCTAATCTCGCTCAGACTGACTTCCGGGATATCTTCGGAATAGTGTCGGATAAGATTCGCTCTTGGATCGTTACTCACACTTGCATGTGGCTCCAACGATGACGTGTACAAGTGCCCATAGAACCTCTCAATCTCACTCAAAATCTCAGGTGTCCCGTAAACGATGCTTCCACACTCGGTCTTCAGCTTTGACAGTTCGCTCTTTCTTTTTCAAAGCGCGCACACAACGAACGAATCGCGCGCTTACTCTTTTGCTGGATCACTTGATCCGTTTATTATATATCCGTTTACATAATTTCATCTTATATGTTCACCTCCCAAACTCGAATTAGGAAGATCCAACTCGAGTTAACTCGAGTTACTAACTCGAGTTGACACATCACTATCTACAAACAAATAACATCTGACACAAACACCAATAAGATGTTTATGATATCTGTAAATTTTATAACCTAAAATTTAAATTGGTGTAAAACTTTTGTTCTTACTATTTAAATAAGTGAAATTTAAAACAATTTAATAACATTTATAGTAATTGTTTAATTTATAAAGCTCTCCCACAATGTTCTGCCTGTGATAGGGAATTTTTCTTTTTTCTTGTTTTATTTACTTGTTCTACCGTTCTACGTCTTTGGCGCCTTCTTTAAGGTATTATAAATCTAGGATCTTGATTCAGAATGTTTACATTAGTTCAAATTGATGATGAAAACCATCCTGAGATTCCATTGTTGGATGGAAAACAAGTAATTGGCCGTGGTCAATTATTTGATGTAAGTAGTTATTGTACTTTTAAAAATACGCTTAGTGGTGACGGCGAATTAAATTACATATTTATACCATCTTCTGATTATACATACTATTTTTGATTTTCGTAGGAATCAAAAAATCTTTTTTGATAGACCTAACATTGTCTGCAACATACGACGATGATTATAACGAACTAGATAGACAATATTTTTAAAAGAACAAAACTTTGATAATGAAGAACGTGTAGCCAAATTTAAAGAAGTATAATTTATTAAAATATTAATTAAATCATATATTTAGCTATCACTGAGAATATTAATTCCATTATTTCACTTCAATATATTTGTACGATAAAGATTGTATGACAAAAATGTCTCACAATGTAAAATGTGTGGTTACCCTATAGGAATTACTACTATAAAATAATATATTCATGATAACATATCGCAGTCACATTGTGTACATTCTGTTACAATTATTGCTTTAACTTTGCAGTGTGATGACAAAAGAATATCCAGAAACCATGCAGAATTAGAGACAACAACTGATTCAGTTATTATCAAAGCTGTAAGTGTTATTATTGAATTATATGTTGTTGTTTTTATTTAATTTAATCTAATCTACATCTGACTAACAATAAACCTATATTTTGGATTGTTTTTTTTTATTGATAGTGCTAACATTGTAGAATTAACAGTTAGTTTTTTAACTATCAATATTTATATATAATAAATAATTTTATAATGGAATATTATATTATATGCTGTCAGTACTTAATTTTTTTTAGTAAAATTATAGCATTTTTCTACGTTATACAATTAATTTTTATTATCATTAGTAAATTAAGTATTATTTATGAATACTGAATACATTTATTATTATGGTAAAAAATAGAGGTTTGATTTTGTTACAAATATAATGATAGTTTTGGATGAATAGAAATTATAATAAAATATTAAATTAAAAATAATGTATTTAAAATTTAAATATTTGAAATTGCCAATTTTGTGTTTTAATACAATTTTAATCTTTCAACAAAATAATATTTGTACCACTATCCAATTTTTTAACTTTTATTTGGGTAATAATTAAAAGAAAAATATACCGTCTTTATAGCAATCAGGTTTTATTATGAATTTTGAACTATTTAATTTATTTATTTATTTGGAAAACCCTCAGCTAACCAATTATATTTATTATGTTTTGTCTAATTACATAAAGTAACATTATATAAATAAGATCTGGGCAGTCAATTAATATTATAATAAATGTAAGTTTTATCATTTCATGTATTAAGAATAGTGAAAATTATTTAACATAAACTGGTTTTCATATCTTATTAGGTATTTTATTTAGGTCTCTAAAATCTTTGAAATAATAGGGTTATGTCAATATAATGATATTGATCATTAATGTGATTTTAAAATATTATGTAATGGTAATTCTGTGAATATTACTGTTTTTTTTTATAGGATTTTTACACATTAATTTCTTTGTTAACTTTAATAATTTTTCTTTAAATAATGGCAAGATTTAAAAAAATCTCTTATTGAATAAAATGTTGAAAAAAACATTTTAGCTAATTTAATCTTAATTATATTATAATTATGTTTTAGCATTTTTAGTACATGTATACTCAATTTATTGAATACAAGTAAAAAATAATCTTTGCATTTTGTTTACAATTTTACACGTATTTTAAAAATAGTGACTATCACCAATGATCCTCGAAAACTGCCATAAACCTGTATCTAATTAGGAACTATATTAAAGACATCCCATAATGTATCATTATGAAATTGATATTTTGGAGTCATACATTAAGAGTGTGAAATATATATATGTACATACTTTTGCTGTTATCTTCTCTATAACATTGAAGTATTTGCAACAAATATGATAGTCATATCACATTGCCGGTTTGCACACAGTATCGCAGTAACTTTAATATTGTGCCATATATGTTGTTATCATGCACTTGTTGGATGATAACAGCACAGGCCAATATACTCCAAGTACAGTTTTTAAATATAATAAAAGCTAGTATAGTATATGATAATGTTTTATACTAGCTTTTATTCATGGCTGCTCACACAGATTTATGGATTGTCTTCTTTTTTATCAGATTAAAAATCTCTCAGTCCACTTCTGTGCTGTGAGATTTGTCTTAAATATTGCACTGTACATAATCCAGACATCTTGCAACTTTGATGCTGCTTTCGGATTTTTTACGTCTAGTTTAAACTAGATGATTATTGCCATCTAATAATCGGATTATATTAATCGCAAGCTATAAGATGTTTTCGTCACGTTCCAAAGTCGCACCTATAGCGCCCAATATGATTTCTCTTACAATGACAATTCGGAATAGCAATTGACATTTTGTCGTAATCAAAATCAATAAAAAAATCACAAATAGTGGGTATTCTCTTTTATTAGCCTATAACAGTATACTGCTGGACATTAGCCTTTTATCATTAGCCCATTGAGGGCATCCACGACTTTTAATGCCATTAGGACAGCTGCACTTAGGATTGAGGTGAAATATTTGATAGGTTTCATAGCAGGGAAAGTTATTTTCTACCGACTTCAAGGAGGATGTGGTACTCAATTCCTTTTTTTTTATGTGTTCTTTTTTTATTTGAAAGCTGGTGCTTCACATGTTGGTCCCACATAAATTTGATCAAGGTCTGACCAATAGTTTTTGAGTTATTTTTGATAATTTATATTGATGTCGGTTGTACAAAATTTTTAATTTTAAAGAGTGATAAGAAAAGTGTGGATAATATATTAATGTTCCTTTCTGAAATATTAGTTATATTCTATACTAGCTGTTTTGACGCGCGACTTCGTCCGAGTGTAATTTAGGGTTTTAATTTTGTTGCGCGGAACTCTAGTAATTCTTTTAAAATATAAGTAGCCTAAGTTACTCCTTATAACATGAGCTAATAATCATAACATGAACTATCTACCATTGAAAGTCTTGCCAAAATCGGTGCAGCCGTTTCGGAGATTAGCCAGAACAAACACACAGACAGACATACAAATTACAAAAGTTTATAAAATTGTGTTTTTGTTAACTGTTATTTTAACATTACAAACAGACACTTTAATTTTATTTATTTGTATAGATTAGTTATATTAGAAACTAGTTGTTCCCCGCGACTTCGCTCGCGTGTTAGGGTTTTTATGTTTTTCGCGGAACCCTAATACTTTTTCTAAAATAAAAGTAGCCTAAGTTACTCCTTATGAAATCAGCTATCTGCCAGTGAAAGTCCCGTCAAAATCGGTCCAGCCGTTTCGGAGATTACCCGGAGCAAACAGAGAGACTGACAAAAATTTTAAAAACTGTATTTTAGTTATAAGTACCGTATTTACTTTCATATGCATTTAGTAAAAAACTCTAATTTTGACATTACAAACAGACACTTCAATTTTATTTATTTGTATAGATGGATAATCGAACCTACGTATATATTCCAAAAATAAAACAATTAAAAAAATGTTAAAGATGTGTTGTATAAATAAGGAGTGGCAAAATGAAAAATTTTATACAAACAACTTCAATATAAATAAAATGAGAACATCATCAATGTAGTCAAAGTCAATTAAATACGCATTATTAAGTCGATTCACCTAGAAAAAAGCTCTGAAGTAAATCACATTAAAAAAAAACAGTCGAATTGAGTACCTCCTCCTTTTTTGAAATTGGTTAAAATACACTACAGTGAGACACTACACTACATCACTGAGGTGAGGCGTTGTTTTGTATAAATACATACACTAGAAACCGAAAATCTTATAATTAAATAGCTACTGTTAATGATAGATATATAGAGCCATGCTGCAGCTATATTAGTAGTATAGTTGTAGCACGAATGGGTCGGCTCGACCGGGGAAGCACCACGCTCTCACAGAATACCAGTGTAAAATGGCAGCTTGACACTGCTGTGTTTCATATGGTGAGTGTAGAGAACCGGAGACCCATTTTACTGGAAAAGAGGCATTCCATCTTAGTCCTCACGGGTGACGACCCATCTGCATTTTGATTCTTAATTAGGGATAAATGTAGATGTCTATGGGTCACAGCAACCACTTACCATCAGGTGGACTGTGTGCTCGTTTGTCACCTTTCCTAAAAAAAAAATGACACTGTGTGACCATCCATTAGTCCCAACAAGCGGCATTTGGTGAGCATAAGATTTAAGAGCTCCTTATTACCATGTTGAATTACCATGCTCTCACGGAAAAATAGCAGCTGAATGCTGCTGTGTTTCATATGGTGAGTGTAGAGTACCGGAGGCCCTTTTACTGGAAAAGAGGAATTCCATCTTAGTCCTCAGGGGCGACAACGCATCTGCATTTTCGATTCTTAATTGAGGGTAGATGTAGATGTCTATGGGTCACAGTAACCACTTAAGACGAGGTGGACTGTGTACTCGTTTGTCACCCTTATTTTATAAAAAAAATATACGGGTTGGTCATTCCGCTATCTATCTATCAACAACGGTCAAATTGAAAAATATCTGAGTGTGGTGGTGTGTCTGTGAATCTCTGACGCTCTGACCTTCAACACCCAGACCAGAAATGTTTATAGGTCTGAGCTACGCCTTTTTTAATTGTTGACGAAAAAGAGGGGTGTTATATGTTTAACGTGTGTATCTGTGTGTCTGTCTGTCGCGCCTAAATGGGTGATCCGATTTGGAATAAGTTTTTTTTTGTTGGAAAGGTGACTTGATCGAGAGTGTTCTTAGCTATGATTCAAGGAAATCTTTTCAACCGTTTGAAGATCAACGGTTCTTTTTTTTTACGTTCCTTTTTTAAATTTAATTGTTAATAGTATCTCGTAATCCGTTGCCGTTGCAGTCTATCGTAGGTCAGTTAGTCATGGATTGAGTTGGCAACGGCAATTTTTATTATTTTGCTTTGTTATCAGGACAGGACATTGCTGCCGCCCACTTCTTGTTTCATTTCCTCTTACGGCACCCACGGGATGATATGGGGTAGTGGACAGTCGTCTTAAGCCGCGTCTCCACCAAAGTTTTGTTGCCAACACAACAGTTGCCAACAAAACTTGTTTCCATTTGTTCCCTCTGTGGAGACGCTTGTTAGAAACAGTTGTAAACAGTTGGAAACATAACTATTGTCAATATTTTTGGTGGATACGCGACTTTTCGCCGCTACTAAACTGCGAGCCACAGTAGTTGATGTTGAGTTTCATGTACCTATTGATTTTGCAATGAAAATACTTTTTAAGCAAGTAACACTTAGATGTAATTTTGTTTTTTAACTGACTTAAAAAAAGGAGGTTTACGATTTGACTGTATGTTTCTTTTGTATGTATGCTACGCGATATTTTCGTCAATTATGGACTATTGATATGAATAATAATAATAAGTTTATTTTAATAAAAAGAAGATTTGTTTTACAATTAGTATTTATCTCTTAAGCAAATAAAGCCTGTAGCAGGTGACTCCGCTCTTCCATATCTATATTTGCATCTTATATTATATGTTGATTATATATGTATTAGAAAAATGTAAGACAGATATTAAGACAGAGTTCTCATAGGTGACAACGCATCTGCATTTTGATTCGTAATCAAGGATAGATGTAGATGTCTATAGGCCGCGGCAACCACTTAGCCTCAGCTTACCATCAGGTGGACTGTGTGCTCGTTTGTCACTCGATCCTATAAAAGAAAATTACAGTATTTTCTTTCAAATAAAACATTTTTCCATTGTTTATGATATGCGCACGTGCAACACACACAGTAAATTTGATAATTATTTTTTATTAAATTTGTTAAACTTCCTGTAATATTTTTTTAAACCACTCAACTTGAAAGGATGAAAAAAAAATAATAGAAAGTAAAATCCGACTGTATAAAATAATTTCACATTACTAAGTCGGCGCCATCGACTACAGAATGTAAAATATTTTATGCTTTTTTAGTTATTCGAAGTCGGCCGACTTCAAAAAGGAGAAGGTACTCAATTCGACTGTATAACTTTTTTCTCGGTGAACCGATTTCGATGATTGTTTTTTTTTTATTTGAAAGTTGGTGTTTCTCATGTGGTCCCATATAAATTTGATCAAGGTCTGACCAATAGTTTTGGGAGTTATTGTTAGTAATTTATATTGAAGTCGGTTGTACAAAATCTTCAATTTTAAATTACCTACTTAATTATTAAAAGTTATATTTTATCACAAGTACCAATTGATTATATATACTTATCTACTAGATATAAATTATCTAAAATATTAATAAGTGATTATAATTCACGTGATTAAATTTTTATGAGTGAAATTTAAAAATATCAGTATTTTTAGGATTGTAACGTTGTTTCTACAGATTCTATATCACACGGTATAGTATAGGGCCTCGGGTTCGAATCCCGCATGAAACTAGTTTTTATATTTATAGATCCTACAAATATCGTATATATGAAGTGGAAATGGGCCGGCCAATCAGTTCGAAAAACCGACAACCGATGGCTAAGAAAGGTTCACAAGTGGCGGGTGGCCGCCCTCCACTAGATGGTGTGACAACCTTGTAAGAGATGCAAAAAGTCGATGGATACAGGTGGCTCAGGATCGTGTTTGTGGCATTCCTTGTAGTGGTAACAGTGTTGATTTGATATGGGTCAGGAAGGGTATTCTGTGAGTGTTTTTTTTTTATAGGATAAGGGTGGCAAACGAGCACACAGTCCACCTGATGGTAAGTGGTTGCTGTGGCCCATAGACATCTACACTTATCCTCTGTTACAAATCAAAATGTAGATGCGTTGTCACCCGTGAGGACTAAGATCGAATGCCTCATTTCCAGTAAAAAGGGTCTCCGGTTATCTACACTCACCATACGAAACACAGCAGTATTAAGCTGCTATTTCACGCTGGTATTCCGTTAGAGCGTGGTCCTTCCCCGGTCGAGCCGACCCATTCGTGTTATAACTATACCCGAAATATAGCTACAGCATGGCTCTACCACGTATAAGACACGTAAAAGTGGTTCTAATCCGGTCGAGCAGAAGAATGGGTTGCCATTTGTGCTTCATTCAGCCACGCTGCGGCTATATTATATAGCTACAGCGTGGCTGTTATTATATAGTAGTTATTTACAGACATAAACACTTAAAAGTACCTACAGTCTGTGTATCACCTTGTGATAAAATATTTGTTTTAAATTTCTTAGAACAATTACTATAGTCATTTGATAACGTTCAAAAACAATGTAATCAGTTAAGATAGCCAATGCACTATCGCAATCTACTTTTATAGAATACTAGCGATCCGCCCCGGCTACGCTCGGTGGATTTCTGGACCTCGACAACAGCGCCATCTACAAATTTGAATTGTCAATCTAAACCATCCAGGGAAGCACTCAAACACAATGAATCTCTACATAGTATAAAACAGAGTCACTTCCCGCAGTCTGTACGTTTAGATATTTTAATATCTAAACGTACAGACAATGATTATATGGTTTGTGATGCGGTTTTCATCAATAGACAATGATTTAAGATGAAGGTTTATATGTATAACTAGCTGTTCCTCGCGACTCTGCTCGCGCGTGTTATTACGATTGGATTTTAATTTTTTTCGCGGAACTCTAATTTTTTTTTAAAAACGCTACCCCCACACTAGGATTTTCTCATGTATCGTGGAGGCAGTTTACAAACATAAATTGCACAAGGACAAACATCCAGACCCGGAACAATTATTTGTAGGTCATACAAATACTTGTTCCGTGCGGGATTCGAGCCCGCGGCCCCCAGCGCAACAACTGATTGCCAAGCCACTGCGCCACGGAGCCGTCATCATTAACTTAGGCTACTTTCATTTTTCTAAAATAAAAGTAGCCTAAGTTACTTCTTATAACATCAGCTATCTGCCAGTGAAAGTACGGTCAAAATCGGTCCAGTCGTTACGGAGATTAGCCGGAACAAACAGACAGACAGACAAAAATTATAAAAAGTGTAGTTTTGTTATAAGTACCGTTTTCTACGTTCATATGCATTTAGTAAAACGATGTAGTTTTGACATTACAAACAGACACTTCAATTTTATTTATTTGTATAGATACATGCATATTATTTATTATATATTATACTAGCTATTCCCCGCGACCTTGCCCGCGTGGAGTTATTTTTCGCGGAAGCCTAAAATAAAAGCAGCCCAAGTTACTCCTTTTAACATCAGCTATCTGTGTATAAATATTGACATTAATATTTATACGATACTAACGCCATTCAATAATTTTGCCTACCCAGAACACCACCACTAACACTTAAATTTTATGGAATGGTATTAAAGTTCAAATTGACTTTTAAGTATTATTACGAATCTTTTGTATGGGAATATAGAAAAGTGTTGTTTTTAGACTTTTTAGGCAATTTTTTAAATTTTTCTCTCCGTAAGAACCATCTTCTTACTTCAAGGAATATTATAAAAAAAGAATTAGCGAAATCGGTTTAGCTGCTCTCGAGATTTGCGCTTAACAACACATTCGGCGATTCATTTTTATATTATAGATAATTCTTCTGTTCGTGTGTGTGTGTGTGACTGAACTGCTCCTAAACGCCTGGACCGATTTTGATTCAACTTTATGTGTTTATGTGTGTGATTGAGTTGATTGTAGAATGGTTTAAATTCACAATTTGATCCGATAGATGGCGTTGTTATTTAGATCCAGAAATCAACCGTGCGAAGCTGGGACGGATAGCTTGTTTCATTTAAATCGGTCCAGCTGTTGAGTAAAAGTTCAGTGACAAACGTGTGTACTGAAGCATCACAAGTAATACTTAACAAAAGTAATTGATGGATTTACTACTGGGTCGGAAAAAACCTCTGCCGTGGGAATACCCAGCAAGAAACCCAGCGGGACCTTTTTTAAATCAGTAGTACTTGCTTAGTGCCTACGTAAGAATAGTTGTATATATATAGTATGGCCATAATTTTCTGCGGTAATACAGACTAGTTCCTCGGATTATAAATATAAAGCGTCATTGAAAAAACTAGGTACATGCGCGTGAGCAATCCATTGACGTGGACCTCTCATGATAGGGAAAATATGTTGTAATCGTCGCCCTTGATAGGCAACCAACACTACACTTGACGTTTAATACTTAAACGGCGTGAGGCTAGGTATATTAGGATATTTTAGATCCGATATTTCGGATTGTGTACCTACATGCAGCGTGTCTGGTTTAATTAGGAAGTAAGAAATTTGCGGCTTTAATTGCTTAAGGGGTTACAAGACTTAATCTGACTTTTCATACGATAAATAATATGTGTTTTTTTTTTCAGTTGCATAAAAATCCATGCTATTACGTTAATAACAATATGGCGGACGCAAAAATAATAAACCAGAATTCCATAGTGAATGGAACCCATGGCGACAAAATTGGATTTTTGCCTGAAAAACTTTGGTTTGAAATCAGAAATAAAGACATAAATGATGGCAAACTGATAGATATAAGTGATATGCAACCTCTTAAAAATCTCATACAGAAATGTAAGGATATATTGGAATTGAGTAAAAATGATACTACTGAAAACGTGCCTCATGGGAGTGAAATTACAGAGAGTATAACAGTCAAGAAAGAATTAAATGAATCAAATGAACGCTTAGATCCGCCAGGTTCGCCTTCGATATTATGTAAGTTTGAATTTTTATAAACTATATAGTAACGATATAATTAACGGTATATAGGAACGTAAGTCTTACTTCGCTCAGTACCTGGCTACTGTGCCAACTAACACCTAGCCTGGGTACTGTTGACTGACTGGATAGTCTAGACTGCTGGTCAGTTTTTAGGTTTTTCTGTCAGGAAATTCTCAGTGGGAGCCCGGAGTCAGGAAATTGGCAGTGTTTCAACCCCTTGCCTCAGAAAGCAAGTAAAGCCGTTGGTCCTGATCTCTCTCCGGTCATAGCGACTTTCTGTCCCATTAGACTATGAGACTGAGGGAATTGATAGTCCACCTGTGCTTGCGCACACACGCGTGCACTATTGTCCTCTCCAGTGCAGATTGTTAGTCTTCATTGCAAGCCTTCGTGACCGAAATTCGGTCTGGAATGTGTCACTTGTTTCGGTTTCAAATATCAGCTAAAATTATTATTAATGCAAAACCAATCTAGTACCCCAATAAAAAAGAATATGCACCACCACATATGGTCTCGTGTTTGTTGTAAGAGATGACAGAGGGAAACAAACCATGAGATGGGCAGCATCGTGTTCCGAATAACAACCTCCCTGTGATTCTATGGGGAAGCCTAATCAAAAATAGAGTCGAGGGGCATATTATTACTCTACCTGTAAGTGGAGCATTATGCTAATTAACTAACTTTACTCTGGACCGTTAAATATCGTGTGCGTTCGAAAATGCTGAACCAAAGCTTCGTAGACTAGCGTAAATACGTCTCGAATATAAAATGATGATATCGACTGAATGTTTTCATCAAGTTCTGTTCATCAGTTTTTCTAGGTATCCGTAGGTGTACGGGTGTTATAATAATATTAATAATTTCTTTATTTGTTTAGAAACACAGTGTTATGTATGTGTTTTTTTTTTAAAGAACATAGTATATCAATCTGCCCACACTAAACTTAATTTTTCCAACGCAATCACGCCCATTTTATTATATTTTTATTTTGTTTACAGCAACAGACAAAACGCAAGTAATAACACAATTAAGTCAGCAAGATGAGTCATCAAGTCAGTCACCAGGAAAGAGATGTTTGTGTAAAGGAGAACCTGTTAGCCCTTTTGATTTAAAGAAAGTGAAAAAAGAGGAAAATGTAGAAAATGACAAGCCACACTCTAGTGAGAGTCAAGCGGTTAGTTATAGATTACTTTTCATGGCTTCATGACACGGTTTAATTAGTTTTTATGATTCAGTTACAATACTATCTCTGCAGCTATATATAGTAGCATAATTGTTGATAATAACCCCTTCGAATGAGGTGGTCGCTTCAAAGTGGTTTCTAAAATAAATTTTGTAACAAGTTTGTACAACCTCTAATATTGTATAATTTACTTGAAAAAACTTAAATTTCAAATTTAAAAAATCTACGAAAGAAAAAGAGCTGATGATCTTCAAACGGCTGAACAGATTATCTTGAATCATAGCTAAGAACACTCGATTAAGTCACCTTTCAAACAAAAAAAAAAACTAAATTAAATCGGTTCAACCGTTTAAGAGCTACGGTGCCGCAGGCAGACACACAGACAGACACACGTAGCGGTTAATCTTATCTTTTTCGTCGGTGTTTTAAAAAAGTCCCGGTGGGTTTTTTCCTGGTTTTTTTTCGAACCAGTGGTAAAGTAAAAAAAATTACTTTCAATAAGAATTACTTGTAAATCTATATTGAATAAAAAATTATTCTATTTTAATGGATCTGCTCGACCGGGGTATTGTAACGCGCTCACAGAATACAAGCGTAAAATGAATCATTTTAGATAAGGTTTACAATAACAATGTTGTGACTCATTTCAGTTTACCGAAATATTACAAAACATTATAATGGAATACGAGTAGTATATTCACTAACGGGAAAATCACTTTTTAATAATACAACGGCCAACTTGATAAAATCTGATTTTTATTACCTCTGTACCTATTTCAAATATGTGTGACTGTTGTTGTTATGGAGCTTCCTCTTAAAGCTTGCTTTATTAACTGCGAGACTGTCCTGCAGAATCCGAAATTATTGGACGCGTTGGTCATTAGTGCTATCGGTATTAAAATTTAATTGGATAACACAAATGCATTTGCGTAATTAAAGTACACATCTTGGTTTAGAGGTAGGAGTGCTTGATCACTGAGTTTTTCGGAGCCAATATTAATGGAAAAAACTCAATAGGGAATAAAGATACTATAAGTTTTTTTCTACGTAGATCGGACCAAAAATTAATAATTTTAATCTGAAGGTAGCCGTGGTTAACTATGACGTTGGGAAGTCAAACGCCTCAGTCCTTTCCGTGACCATGTATTCTGTAAGGTGCTCGAAACGTCGAGAATTTGAAATAAGTCAATATATGCGATAAAATCCGTAAAACTTTGTATCACTTAAATGTATAGTGTTCGCGTAAATTTAAGAAATCACTACATTTACTACATGTTATCATCAACACCTCAGTGCCCCCGTGACCATTGTGAGTGCTGCATAGTACTCAAAAGATAGAGATAAGAATAAGAGAATATAAAATAGGTTAATTGAACGCGATAGCATTCCCTTTTTACTGGTAAACAAGGCATTGCATCTTAGTCCTCAGGAGCGACAATACATCTGCATGATTCTTAATCGAGGATATACGAGGTGAGGCTGAAAAGTTTTGAGCCTAGGGTATTAAAAATGTATACAGAAAAGTATACAAAAATTATTTTTCTATGTAATCACCCTCTACTTTAATGCACTCCTTACATTTGTGATAAAAGGCTTTTAACCCAGTGGAAAAACTATTCGCCATCTTTGCCTTCGAAAGACTCGTCTATCGCTGCCTTCAAATCGCTGGGGGCTAGGTCTAGACTGTATGGTGGGTGATTGATTTCTTCAAATGCAGTTTTGTTCAGGTCACGCATTGCAACTCGAGCAGTGTTCACAAAAACAGGGCTCCTTTCGCCAGTTTGCCTCTTCTTTTTTTGACTTGACATACTTTTGTCAACAATGCAGCGTAATAGTCCCCGTTCATTGTCACGACGGCTCCGTGGCGCAGTGGCCTTAGCAATGAGTTGCATGCGCTGGGGGGCGCCGGTTCGAATCCCACACGGAACAAGTATTTGTATGGCCTACAAATAATTGTTCCGGGTCTGGATGTTTGTGTTTGTAAACTGCCTCCACGATACAGGAGAAAATCCTAGTGTGGGGGTAACGTTTTTTTAAAAAAAAAAACAAAATAAATAAAAAACAAATTGTACTATTAGGAAGGTAGTCAATTAACAAAATTCCTTCACAGTCCCATAAAAACAGTGGCCATGAGCTTGGATGCCGATCGCTCCACTTTGAATTTCCGTGGCAGCTTTTCTCCCTTTCTAATCCACTGCATTGACTCTTGTCGTGACTGGATCGTACTGCCGGATCCATGTTTCATCAATAGTGACAATGCGAGAAAATAAATCGTTAGGATTATCGCCACAAATGTCCAAAAACTCCTTCGAAATTGTAACTCGACGCTGCTTGTCCATCGAAGTAAGCATTTTTGGCGCCCATCGTGCCACACATATTTTGCTTGTGCAAATGAGTATGAAAAATATTACCGATTCGTTCCTTGCCAATGCCTATGGCTTCAGCTATCTGCCACTTGATTCGTCCATCTTCTAGAACACATTTCTTTACTTTCTCAATATTTTCTTCGTTAACGACAGTGTTTGGCCGCCCTGACCTATAGTCATCTTCTAGCGACTCCCTGCCATGCTTGAAAATCGGCTCCAACATTTTACGGTGGCAAATGAAAGACTCACCTTAAATTGTCGACATCTCTTCAAATATTTCCGTCGGCGTTTTGTTCTTTGTGAGGAATTTTATGACACCTCTGTACTCCAATTTCGTACAATGTGCGAATGACTGAGACACGATGATCTTCACGGATTAATTACTTAAAGTGTAAAGATGTTAATGATGTGGAACTCTTTACGTATACTAAGGAGGGTATTCACAAATTAATAATATATAGCGCGAGACAATAATGCCATTTGAAGGTAATAATAATAATAACCTCGTGAAAGCCGAAACAGATAAGCGAACAATATATCTGGATCTGGTTCACGAGGTGACCGACATGTGGGGTGGACTTCCGACCGAAATTTCAACGCAAATTTCAACAGATCGGTGTGGTGAAAATTTTAGAGCAATTAATTTTTAGGCTTGGTACCTAATTAGCACCTAAAAAGCCCCTAATTTGCGCTTTTCCTAAAAGCAAATTTGATTCTGAATAACGACTTTATTTTTATTAGGTGCGCCTTGTCATTGCCTATACTTGCAGTACCTATATAGCACTTAATTCCTTGCTGTTCGTATTTATCGCATATCTAATAACTTAATTGCGTTGCTAGCGGTACGTTTTGCTAGTAACGTAATATTTTAACAGTTCGTTGCGGTGAAAATTTTAGAGACTTAAAACTTTTCTTAGACTCAAAACTTTTCAGCCGCCCCAGTGGTCGCTGTACGCTGACCACTTACATCAGGTGGCCCATGTGCTCATTTGTTACCTTTCTTCTATAAAATAAAAATAAAATCGTAAAAAAAAACAACTAACTTTTTTGATGTGAATTTGTTGCGAGTGTATCCGTATTTCTGGCTTATGCCTGTAAGATGTCGCTTTATTTCGAACACGGGTTAAGACACTTTAGCGATTTAAAAATACAATAATAAATGTAATTGGCTATGGGCCATAGCACCCACTTACCATCAGGTGCGCTGAGTGCTCGTTTGTCACCCTTATTCTATAAAAAAATACGTGGTAGAACCACGCTACACGCTCGCACAGAATGCCTGCGTGAAATAGCAGCTTATGTTGCTAAATCCCCCCCAATCTAACGTGAAATTTTTCAAAATCCTGTTTTCCTGCAAAATTTAATTAGTGTAAATACGTTAATCTGTGCTTGATAATGTTGGTATTATTAAAAAAAAAGGAAACCATTTACTTACTTATTTTTATATAATTTGTCAAGTTCGCATAACCGCGATAAATATTATTGTGTGGGATTTAGTCATATTTTACTAAATTTAATCCAATTTTCTCGACGAAACTGTCTCCCCATGATACTAGAAAAAATTCTAGTACGAAGGTAACGTTTTTTTTTAAATTAAAATTAAAAAGTAAAATGGATTTCAGTATTTTATAATTTTTTTCTTTGTCTCGTTATAGAGTTCATCGGGCACAAGCACAGCCAATGGTGACCAGTTAACACCGAAAAAGGACCAGCCGAGGCGAGAGAGATGCATGTATGGAGCAAATTGTTATAGGTGTGTATTTTTTTCGTTAGTAGTTGTAAATTACATAAATAACTTTTGATATGTATTATCTTTAAAATATTACTATAATATTATATTACCGTTAATGTTACAGCCTATTAAAATTCACTGCTGAACATAGGACTCCCCATATATTGCCTCAAGGGAGGGGGGGGGGGGGGGGGGATATTTGCTATAGTTGCCGCGCTTGGTGAGCGGGTTGGCAACCACAGTATTTTATTTTTAGTCGTTATTAGGAAGACGCTGCTGCCCATCTCCTGATTTGTTTACCCTTTGTCGCCTCTTACGGCACCCACGGGATGATATGGGGTGGTGGATATTCTTACACCACCACTACACGTTTATCTATATCTATACATATAATAAATCTGTAGAAAAAATGTGTGTTCACGGTTCACGCAAAAACTACTGGATAGATTTCAATGAAATTTTGTATGAAGATAGTAAATGACCGTGTATAACATATAGGCTACTTTTTATCCGCTTACGGAAGAGTAAAAAAAGGGTTATGTTTTCCCTTTTTTTTTAGTTTATTGTCATTATGGCTGCTGACTGTTCTATTAGTCCTCAAGACGATTTAGCTATACGTATATAAATCTATAGAAAAGTGTGTATATGTGAAAATAAACTCATCGCGCGACCATCCATAACGTCTGCCGGGTCAGCTAGTATTAAATAAAGTATGGGTACTAAAATAAATGTACTAAAATACTACTAAAATATACTAATGTACTATTATATTGAATATTTTTTTTTATATAGGATAGGGTGACAAACGAGCACACATTCCACCTGATGGTAAGTGATTACTGTGGCCCATAGACATCTGCATCTATCTTCGTTAGCGAATTAAAATGCAGATTCGCTGTCAACCGTGAGGACTAAGATAGAATGCCTCTTTTCCAGTAAAAAGGATCTCCGGTTCTTTACACTCACCATACGAAACACAGCAGCATTAAGCTGCTATTTTACGCTGGTATTCTGTGAGAGCGTGGTCCTTCCCCGGTCGAGCCGACCCATTCGTGCTACAACTATACTATTAATATAGCTGCAGCATGGCTCTACCACGTTTTAATTATATTTCTATTTATATAAAATCACATATAAATATTAAAATATCAATAAATATCAATAAATAATAATATCAATAAATATTAAAATCACCTACTATAACATTGTTATAGTAGGTGATTTTAATATAAATACCTTGAAACCTGGCAGCCTAACATGCCACTTAAAAGATCTTTGCAATAACTATAATTTGAAACTCCATATCGATGTTCCAACTCGGAAAGAATCGTGCATAGATCACATCCTTAGTAATGTGAAGGACGCTACTGCTCATGTACTGCCTCTCTGTCTGTCGGATCATGAAACAGCGCAACTACTGAGTATTCCGATCCAAAAAAATATTCCTAAAACAGAAAAATCCTACTACTTATTCAAAAAAGACTATTCTTTAGAAAATATTAAAAAGTTTAAGGAATGCTTGAATAGCCTCTCTTGGTCTGAAGTGTATAGTGAACCTAACTTCAATATAGCCTTCAATAATTTTCATTCGAACTTCAAGTTGTTCTACGATTTGTGTTTCCCAACTAAAAAAGTAAAGGTTAATAACTCAAATAAAAACAATCGCATGTGGTTTAGTAAAGGCTTACTAAAAAGTTGTAACACAAAGAGAAAACTCCGATATAACTATTATACACATAAATCAGCAAGTAATAGACAGAAATATTTTACATATTCAAATATCCTGAAAAAATGTATAAATAAATCTAAGAGACTTGCAAACATTAAATTTATTCAAAACAGTAATAATAAATGTAAAGCAACGTGGTCTATAATAAAAAATGAAATAGGTATAACACAAAGCGAAGCTTCTGTTGACTGTCTAAAAATTGACGACTCCGACATTGCAAACCCGGAAGAAATATCCCAAATATTTAACAACTACTTTACAAACATCGGAAAAATTTGTATTAATAATGTAAACAATGCTGAAGGCTCTTATATTACGAACAATTTTAACTTAAGCACAATGTTCCTTAAACCCATGTCAGCAAATGAAGTAAAATTAGAGGTAATGACCTTAAATAAAACCAACTCTGTAGGCTACGATGGCATAAATACACACATATTGAAGTCATGCATTGATAAAATAATTGACATTTTGACTCATCTTGTCAATTTGTCATTCTCATCAGGAAGCTTTCCAGAAACATTAAAGTCCTCCATTGTAAAGCCTATACATAAACGTGGCAACAGAAACGTTGTTAGCAATTATCGCCCAATTACCCTTGTACCTATACTTTCAAAAGTATTTGAAAAGTGTATGTAAAAGGCTCCTAGAATTTTGCAATAAGTTTAACATTATAAATAAAAATCAATATGGCTTTCAAAAACATAAATCGACTAACTTAGCTATTCATCACCTAATCAATACATTGTTGACCAATATTAATGATAATTATTTGACTACGGACTGTTTTTTGACTTGACTAAGGCATTTGACTTCGTATCACACGATCTATTATTAAATAAATTGGAAAAAATAGGAATAAGGGGTATTACGTTGCAATGGATTGCTTCGTATTTAACAAATCGTACTCAATGTGTCACGATAACAAAACTAATCAATAAAGAATTAAGAACATATAAATCCAACTGCATTGAAAATATTAATGGTGTTCCACAAGGCAGTATCTTAGGGCCCATATTATTTATATTATATATTAATGACATATCTGATGCGACAAGTCATGAATGTATTACATACGCTGATGACATTTCGGTTATAGTTAGGACTAAAAAAAAATAAGAATTCAATATATAATCACGAATTGGACATAAATAATACAACTGATAATATAATTGAATGGCTACAAGCTCACAATTTAAAAATTAACTTGGCAAAATCAAATTTTATTCAGTTTAATTAGCAGATAATAAAGAAATTTTTAGGTGTTGTCATAGACCAGAATCTGAACTGGAAAGCACATATCGATGAAGTTTGTAATAAAGTAAACAAATGTTGTTACGCGCTCAACCAAATAAAAAAAGTGACTGACATAAAAACATCTGTTATGACTTACCGAGCATATGCCGAGTCTATACTCCGTTATGGACTGGTGATGTGGGGAAATAGTTCGGATTGGAATCGGGCTTTTATTGCGCAGAAAAAATGCATTAGGGCAATCTGCGGAGTACGACCTGATGAATCGTGTCAGCCTCTATTTAAAGTTCTTGGAATACTGCCACTACCAACGATATATATTTTGGAAGTTTGTGTTTTTGTGCAGAGACACAAACAATTATTTGAAAAAGCTTGTGAGGTACAGACTACTCGCTCACGTAGGGACCCACACAAGCTAGTACTTAAGGATGTACCTAAATCACAAAAATATGGCAAAAGTTGCCTTACCATGTGTGTCCGAATATATAACAAGCTCCCTGACGAACTTAAAACCCTAAATATTACATTGTTCAAAAAGAAATTGTACAAATGGCTGAATGAAAATAATTTCTATAGTGTAAAAAAATTCTTAGAAAAAAATTAGATTATGTACTGGATAACATTTATTTAAAAAAAATCATTTAATTATTGTAATAAATATAAAATAATAAAATATAGTATTGTACAATATATCTTTGATTAAGCTGTGCGACTATTATTAGGTATTGAAATTGACATGTAATTAATTATTATAATATTATTTCTCTTTGTTAACTAAAACAGCTGACTAATGTACTTCAAATAGTTAAAGAAAATTTGATATTGTTTAAATATATTTGCATGCTATGTAAAATAAGCAAAACATGAGCGCTCGATTTTTACCTGTGAACAACATATATACCATGTTTTACGCAAATAAAGATTATTAGTATTATTATTATTATTTTTATTTAAAGTGTTTACGTTTTCTCAGTTTGTTTTCAACAAAGCTGGATTAATGGTTACTACCACGGGACTAAGCCAAGTGGGTACCATGAACGTGTTTGGTTATGGGTAGTTATCTGTTGAGATAAATTTTCTAACTATTCTACAAGTATTAAGTAAAACTGCTTTTTGCAATTGAATATATGTAAGTTTTGGTAGATCAAGAGTTTTCAATGATTGATGAAGCGCTTTTGGTATGACTCCAGTTGTAGAGAGGACTATAGGTACTATAATGGCATTATGTAAGCCCCACATTCTAATAATTTCATGTTTTAAATCAATGTATTTGGAAATTTTTTCATTAATTGTAGTCTGTAAGTTATGTGAATTAGGTATAGCAATATCAATAATAAAAGCAGATTTATTCACTTTGTCTATTAATGTTATATCCGGTCTATTATAGTGTATTGTTTTGTCAGTAAGTATAGCTCTGTCAAAATACATTTTGTGAGTGGTATTTTCAAGGACTATTTCAGGTTTATATTTATAGTATACTTGAATAGGTTGGTCAGTTAGTTTCCACTTAAGGGCAAGTTTCTGGTGAATGATATTCGCTACTTGATCATGCCGATACTTATAATCTGTCTGAACGATCGCTTTACAAGCACCAGTGATGTGTTGGATTGTTTCTGAAGCATTAAAACAACGTCTACAAGTGTCGGCGTGGAGATTTTTTATTTTAATGATGTGCTTTTGATAATTACGTGTTTCTATGACTTGGTCCTGAATTGCACACATAAAACCCTCAGTCTCAGGGAAAAACTCACCACGTTGAAGCCATGCGTTCGACGCTAATTTGTCTACGGTAGGTTGGTTCAACTCTTGGCGATGTCTTCCATGTAGAGATTTTTGAGTCCATATGTCAATTTTTGTGTTATTATCTGTAAGTACCTCATTTTTTTGCAATGTTTTATCATACATATTAAGCGGTGTCAATTTATGATCGTTCTGTACTATAGCATTGTGTAGTGTTGATATTTTAGTTTTATGATAAAAGTAATTTCTGAGTGTTGTTATTTGTCTGTTATGTAAGTTAACTATGTCTATTACACCT